GTTTCTTCTTCTTCTCTTTAAAACTCAGCAAGCTTTCGTTCTTCATCGTGATCAGCAGCATTACTTCTCCTTCAGATGACCGTCCTGGCTGCCTTCACACTCCTTCACTGAGCATCCTTCAGCTTGTGAACTTGCTCTTTGTTCTTTCTCACAAAGCTCTAAAGAATCGACTGTAATCCAATCACAGCTGAGATGTTGGGGTGGACGGGACGACTCCAGCTGCAAAGAATCAGACACTTTGAGGAATATTTGGCTCAGCTTTGATGTACACTCCCACTCTAAGGTGTGGACACACCTTCTCGTTTAATGGTTTTTCTTTATTTTCATGACTGTTTACATTGTAGATTCTGATTGAAGGCATGAACGCTATGAATGAACACACGTGGAATCATGTAGTAAACAAAACTGTGAAATAACTGAAAACATGTTTTATATTTTAGATTCTTTCAAAGATTCTTTCTCCTCTGCTTTGATTCCTGCTTCGCTCACTCTTGGCCTTCTCTCCATGAGCTTCATGAGGTCGTCTCCTGAAATGGTTTCCAACAGTCTTGAAGGAGTTCAGAGATTCTGAGCACTTGTTGGTCCTTTGCCTTCACTCTGCACTCCATCTCATCCCAAACCATCTCCAGTGGGTTTAGGTCAGGTGACTGTGGAGGCCAGGACTCCATCGCTCTCCTTCTTGGTCACAGAGCCCTCACACAGGCTGGAGGTGTGTTTGGGGTCATTGTGCTGTCCTGGCGTGTCGCTGCAGGATGCTGTGGTGGCCATGCTGGGTCAGTGTGCCTTCAGTTTTGAATAAATCCCCAACAGTGTCACCAGCAAAGCCCCCCCACACCATCACACCTCCTCCTCCATGCTTCACAGTGGGAACCATGCATGTAGAGACCATCGTTCACCTTTTCTGCATCACACAAAGACACAGCGAGTGGAACCAAAGATCTCAGATGTGGACCCATCAGACCAAAGCACAGATGGTCTAATGTCCATCCTTGTGTTTCTCAGATCAAACAAATCTCTTCTTGTTGCTTTTCCTTAGTCGTGGTTTCTCAGCAGCTGTCTGACCATAAAGGCCTGATTCACACAGTCTCTTCTGAACATGTAGAGATGTGTCTGCTGCTGGAGCTCTGTGTGGCATCCATCTGGGCTCTGATCTGAGCTGCTGTTATCTTGTGATTTCTGAGACTGGCGACTCGGATGATTGTATCCTCAGCAGCAGAGGGACTCTGGCTCTTCCTATCCTGGGGCTTCCTCATGTCAGACAGTTTCATCGTAGCACTTGATGGTTTTTGTGACGGCACTTGGGGACACATTCAAAGTTTTAGCAGTTTCCCAGACTGACTGACTTATAAACACAAAGTAGAAAACCTGACCTGGATTAAATTAGACTGATCACCTAATTAGCCAGTGATATGTAGCCTGACAGGCCCTGCCAGCAGGTGGCGCCTCGGCTCCCAGTCGACGTTAGAGGTCACAGTGTCTCTGCGTGGTGTTTAATCAGCCCTGTTTTCCACTTTATCTCCAACTTGCTGTTTAGGTGACAGAGATCAGCAATGTGAAGAACATCACACGACTGCCACGTGACACCAAGCGACAGGCGGTGGCCATTGTGTTCACAGACGACACCTCACGCACCTTCACCTGTGAATCAGGTAACATGTCTGCCTCGACCTGTTTGGGGGGGGATAGAGAAGGCACAATGGAAGAGCTAATGGTGATGTATAATGATGTGTAATGTATGAGGAAGAGCAGTGCCCAGTGCATCATGGGAAACCCCCGACAGCCTACGTCTATTGCAGCATAACTAAGGGAGGATTCAGGGTCACCTGGTCCAGCCCTAACTATATGCTTTAGCAAAAAGGAAAGTTTGAAGCCTAATCTTGAAAGTAGAGATAGTGTCTGTCTCCTGAATCCAAACTGGAAGCTGGTTCCACAGAAGAGGGGCCTGAAAACTGAAGGCTCTGCCTCCCATTCTACTTTTAAATACTCTAGGAACAACAAGTAGGCCTGCAGAGCAAGAGCGAAGTGCTCTAATAGGGTGATATGGTACTACAAGGTCATTACGAGTTCCCAAAAATGTTCAGACTTGATGCGTGCCAATTCAAGAGGAGCTCATACGTTTAAACATTTAAAATCTGCGTTCTACTGTGGATAAAATAAATAAATATAGATTTATGTGATTTTGAGAGTTCCAACTTTTTGAGTTGAGTTTGTTTGTGAGGAGCAGGATTTTAAATCCTCGGTGAGGTGAAGCCAGTACGTGTTTGTAGTCCCCGACAGCTCTCTCTCTCTCTCAGAGCTGGAGGCTGAGGATTGGTTCAAGACGCTGTCGATCGAATGTTTGGGGATGCGACTTAATGACATCAGCATGGGCGAGCCAGACCTGCTGGCTGCTGGAGTGCAGTGTGAACACACAGGTACAGCACACACACACACACACTGTAACTATGACCATTTTATCAGTCCGAGCTGAAGATGTGCAGATGTTCATGGCAGTGAGACAGGATCAGAAATGAGTCCATCAGAGGGACAGCTGAGAGTCAGAGGCTGAGAGGGTCTGAGCGTGTGCAGAGGAGGGAGGGTGGAGGATAAAGATGGAGCTGCCAGGCAGGAGGAGAAGAGGAAGAGCTCAGAGGAGGTTCATGGATGTAGTGAAGGAGGACGTGCAGAGGGCTGGTGTGACAGGAGGATGCTGGGACAGGAGGAGCTGGGGGCGTGTTGATCAGTTTTTGAATGTATGGTATTTTTACCCGTGATGTTTCTTTTGGGTTCTTTTCCTTTGATCGAGGCTGCTGATGTAAATCTGCTCTTAATGACTCGTTAAATCACGGTTGACTCGCTGCACCATCGTGTGGCACGACGTGGTATTACATGAAAGTCCAGCCCAGCACAAAGACGTTTTCAGTTCACTGTGAAACATTTCAAACTAACACCAGGAAGTGACACTGAAAGCTCCTCCCACTGTGAACCTATTATTGTTTATTGTTGTGTTTTTATGTCAGATTTCATAAACCTTGCAGTGCTCTTTGCACACAGTTATGAAAACTTTAGAGGCTGCGTCTGTTATGAAAGAATGATTAACTTTAACTTTATTCATCCTCCAGCTGCAAAAAAAGCAGTTCACTGTCAATCGGTGTTTACTGTGAGGACCTGAGCATGAACACAGATTTTACTTAACATTTGGGCGGAGTCTGACCGTCCTCTGTCTCCTCAGAGCGCTTCAACGTCTTCCTCCTCCCCTGCCCCAACCTGGACATCTACGGCGAGTGCATGATGCAGATCACCCACGAGAACATCTACCTGTGGGACATCCACAACCCTCGCACCAAGCTGGTCACCTGGCCGCTCTGCTCGCTGCGGCGCTACGGACGCGACGCCACCCGCTTCACCTTCGAGGCCGGACGGTGAGACTTCGTGGTGGTCGGGGAGGGGGGGTGGTCTGTCCTCAGATAAACACAGGTGACATCCATCACAGGTTAGAGAGCGCCATCCTTTGTTAGCAAGGTGACTTTGAGATGAAGTGCTTATCTGAACTCACACACTGTCAGTCCAAGGATACCACAC